TGCCCTACAACACCACCTGTCCTACAACACCACCTGCCCTACACCACCACCTGCCCTACAACACCACCTGCCCTACACCACCACCTGCCCTACACCACCACCTGCCCTACACCACCACCTGCCCTACAACACCACCTGCCTTACTACACCACCTGTCCTACACCACCACCTGCCCTACAACACCACCTGCCCTACTACACCACCTGTCCTACAACACCACCTGCCCTACTACACCACCTGTCCTACAACACCACCTGCCCTACAACACCACCTGCCCTACAACACCACCTGCCCTACAACACCACCTGCCCTATAACACCACCTGCCCTGCTTGTATTGGCGGGTTATATATATATATATATATATATATATATATATATATATATATATATATATATATATATATATATATATATATAGATAGATAGATAGATAAATATATATATTTACAGCAAGATAATAAACATTCGTGGAGCCGCTAAACTACATATGTACTGTAATCACCACTACACATCCAGTGTCCATTCACAATGTGTACACTTGGTCTGCTAACGAGCTGAGAATGTGTACTGTGACGTCACAACCATGTCCGGCAGTTATTGTGGGTTGGGTTTAAAGAATCAAGGGGGCGGCAGGGCATGTCACGTGCCAAGTAAATTTGCTTGCATGCCACCCTTAGCACGCATGCCATAGGTTCACCATCCGCGTTCTAGGCCAACTACCGACCTTTTCCCAGCTAAGGAGGGGGGGGGGAAGTTTGGTACAGGTAACAGAGTTTAAAAATGAGTGCAGTGTGTGAGTGTGAGTGTGTGTGTGTGTGTGTGTGTGTGTGTGTGTGTGTGTGTGTGTGTGTGTGTGTGTGTGTGTGTGTGTGTGTGTGTGTGTGTGTGTGTGTGTGTGCGTGATGTGTAGTTAGTGATTGTGTGCGGTGTGTGTGTGTAGTGGCGAGAGAGTAAACCTTGCGATATGATACATTCACCAAGCACTTACGAGGCCCCCCCTTACGAGGTACCGCACCTCTTATCTTGATCATCTTGATCACGGGCGTTTAGTCGCCATATTACTAAACAATTTACGACCTCTGAAGCGCTACGAGGTCGTCCATAATAATGAGCCTTGCGTATGTGCTCCCATACACGGTGTATAACCTCCTGCCGCTATACACAACAGTGTATAAGCTCCTGCTTCCCATACATAACACTGAAGAACCTTGGAGTTCTTCACCACTGCACACGAGAGCCTCACAAACACAGCTACAAGAAAAGCCAAACAAATCAACACTCACAAACACAACAAACACAACAAACAAACAACACCCACAGGGGGGCTCAGGGAACCGGTTCCGGCTCCAGCATCGAGCCCCAAGGCTGCTTGTCCCTTGATTATAGTCATTATAACTTGGGAGGACGACCACTAGCCAAGTTATAGGGGGAGAGGGTGCCTTGGGGACCCCTGGGGGGCGCGGATCCCCTCACTCTGGGGACCTGGGGGGGGGGGCCCCCCAGATACTAGGGACCCCCTAGACCCCAGACACCAGGGACCTCCAAGTTAGAATGAGAATATGATTGTAAAGTACTTCAGAGGAATATAAGGAGAGGGAGCTGGGGGATATGAGGACAAGGAGCTGGGGGTATGAGGACAAGGAGCTGGGGTATGAGGACAAGGAGCTGGGGGTATGAGGACAAGGAGCTGGGGTATGAGGATAAGGAGCTGGGGTATGAGGACAAGGAGCTGGGATATGAGGACAAGGAGCTGGGATATGAGGGCAAGGTGCTGGGGTATGAGGGGGTATGAGGACAAGGAGCTGAGGACAAGGAGTATGAGGACAAGGAGCTAGGATATGAGGACAAGGAGCTGGGATATGAGGACAAGGAGCTGGGATATGAGGACGAGGAGAAACAACGGTGCCCAACACGTCTGAACATCGGGGGATCGAACATCGGCCCTGCAAGAGGCGATGCCGAGCTGTGGCGACCAGTCCAAGTGATTGGTGTGAATCGCAGAGATAAACAAAATACTTTAAGCGTAATAGATAAATGGGGATGACAATAGAACCCCCCCCATTAACAATTCCACCCCCCCCTCTCCGTTAACAATTTCCGTTAACAATTTGAAAAATATAAATGCTAAATAAGTAGGCAGCTGCGAGGATAAGATGGGGTCCAAGAGCTGAAACTCGATCCCATCGGGCAGAAAATAGGGTAGTACAAATAGGTGAGTTCACAGTCTTTACACCCAAAAGCCCAATTACATTTCCCTTAATTTGTTGTAATTTGTTAAAAACCTTAATTAAAAAATGTATTATTTTACGTGAGACTGGTGGTGTGTTGAGGGGTAATGTGTGTTGTCACCTTGTAGCGCTCCCCTACCTGCGTCCTCGGACTCCCAGCTCCAGCTCTAGGGCCCCGGCTCGCGGTCTCTCACTTGGAAACTTCTTGTCTACCTGGTTTCTTCACTTCTACCTATGTAGTCTCTCCGGGGATCAACAGCCCCGCGGCCCGGGTCTCCGATCAGATGCTAGTTGTTCGGCTGGTTAACCAGGCTGTTGGATGCGGCTGATCGCAGCCTGACGTGTGAATCACAGCCTGGTTGATCAGGTATTCCCTGTTCAAAATCGTCGTCTCACGTTTCACCAAACTATTATCACTGGTGTCGGCCTTCCATTGCTGCTCGAGATGAAAGTCCTGGAATAATCTGTCCAGTTCGTCTCCTTGTCGCTGTCTTTGAGAAGGTGTCGATATGCAGACAATGGGCAACCAGGAGGCCTGGTCGACGACCGGGCCGCGGGGACGCTAAGCCCCGGAAGCATCTCAAGGTAACCTCAAGGTAAGGTATGGGTCACAATAACGGGGCTGAACAGTTGGCAACTAGCCCACACATCTGGAATCGAGGAACTGACGACGTTTCGATCCGTCCTGAGCCACGGTCACCACTTAATGGTGGTTCAGATGGACCGAAACGTCGCCGGGTTTTCATTTTCGGATGTGTGGTGTTGGTTGTCTCAGTCAAGTACTTTGGTCCCTTGAAATTATCCTGAAACAGTATCGAGGATCAATGACCCCACGGTTCAGTCTCTGACCTGGCCTAACTGGTTGAGAGACTGGTCAATCAGGCTGTTTGACGCAGCTGCATGCAGTCTGAAGTATCAATCACAGCCTAATTAATCAGGTACCCTTTGGAGTGCTTTAATCAAGTCTCCTTTGCAACTCAGATGTCATTCATCTGTCATTCATTCATTCAAGATGTCATTCAATTACCCTGTATGTCTGTAGCAGTAGTTCTTGCTGATCGTTGGGTGGTTATAGATAGGAGCTGCCTCGTATGGTCCAAAGGTAACTGCCTTCTGCAGTTACCTTTGTTCTTATGTTGGCTTGAGTCCCTTTTGGCTGAGGTCATCTTCCTGCTTCATCGCTTGTCACCACCTGACATTTGGTGAACTAATTTCTGGCTTGATTTAGTTCTATTCTACTTCGTTACTCTTTTATCTGTTCTCTTTCCGAGTCTTCTTGTTTTTTTCCGTTATTGTCTTCTTGCAATGTTCAAGTTTCGTCGTGTCTTTCAGGTCATTGTGTGATGCCTGATGGTCAAAGCGGTTGGGCATTATTCCTTCATTCAACCTGCTATTCCAGCACCTGTCCTCGTCTCCCTTCCATGTGCTGTATAGCCACATGCAGGCGATGAGTTACGTGGCTGAAGTATGTTGACCAAACCACACACTAGAAAATGAAGGGACGACGACGTTTCGGTCCATCCTGGACCATTCTCAAGTCGATTGTGCATAGCCATACAACCATCTGTTTAGCCATATTGTCTTGACTCTTTCTCCTTAATTTCCTTTCCTTCCTGTGGTCTTGGTCTCTGGACCTGTTCTTCCTACAGCTCAATTATGTACTCTAATACAGTGGATTTCCTTTCCTTCCTGTGGTCTTGGTCTCTGGACCTGTTCTTCCTACAGCTCAATTCTGTACTCTAATACAGTGGGCACTTACAGCAAGCAGCAGTTCATGTCTAATCCTATAAAATAGGATAATCCTATAAAATAGGATAATCCTATAAAATAGGATAATCCTATTTACCTTACTGTAAATGAACAGAAAAGTCCAAGCCTTGAACTGCATCACGTCCTCAGCTGTGTCCAGGTAATTTGCAACATTTAAAACAATTTTGACAATTTTAAACTATTTTCATTGTTCTCTTAACAATGTTAATATTAAAATCCACAGGAGCCGTGGCGAGGGTTCGAACCCTGGGTGTTCCCAGACACACTCTCTCGACCACCAGGCCGCAACATGGCCCAATTCTCACCACGGCTTCTGTGGACTTAATCATTGCTATGTCACATTACTGGGCCTTCTCTGTGTACTAATAATACCGATAAATTATTAATATGCATAAGACCCCATCATGGTGGCTAATTAGTAATTACACACAAATTGTATATTAAACAAACCCACTAATACGCTAAGCCCCCCTGGTGTTAACCGGAGGGAATTAAGACATAACTATCCTCACTGCTACCATCATTTCCTCCCCCTATGGTTACCTTATTGTGATGTACTTCTGTAAGGTTGTACCCACTTCTACCCCGGGTATTTCCAGGAATCCCCCCAAAAGCATTTTTAAAAGTGCAAAATGCTACCCAGCTGCGTACAGCCTCTCTCTCTCTCTCTCTCTCTCTCTCTCTCTCTCTCTCTCTCTCTCTCTCTCTCTCTCTCTCTCTCTCTCTCTCTCGTGCATGTATCAATCCGTTGTCACATGTACGTTACTGTGTGTATTATCCTAACCTAGGTAGCACATCTTTCGCCATCTAGTTACACCTTGGGTGTCACATCTTTCACTAACTGGATACATCTTTTACCAACTGGAAAGACCTTTCATTGCCTGGAAATATAATTTAACCACCTGGAAAGGCCTTTCACCGCCTGGAAACCCCTCCGCTGCCTAGAAACACGGGGCAGGTGAGGGGAAAGGAACAACGTAAAGCTTGACCACTGACGTACCTTAGCGATCTCCGGCTTCTGGGCGATGAAATTGCAGTAGGAGACGTCGACGAAGTTTGGTCCATGAACGACGGTGAAACTCTTCTGTTCCATGAGGTCGGTGGAGCCCGACTTGTTCAGCTTGGGGTC